CTCCGGGGGGGGGAATACTGCGAGAGGGCGGTTTGTTGGCCTGGAGCTGGGCAGAGACGTGGCTGGGAGCTCCTGAGAGCAGTTTTGGGGCAGGGAGAGTCTTCGAGGCTGTGGGTTGCCCCTTAGTTTTAGGATTATCTCCCCTGGCTGGTGGAGGAGGGAAGCCCAGGACAGAGGTGGTTGCGTGTGCCACAGTACCCTGCTGTGGCAAACCCTGGGGAGGATTTCCCAAAAACTCTACGAGTGCCCAGATACAAAGCAGCGCTGGGCCCTGCAGCTCTCACCCCGGACGTGCAGCCTCAGGGCATTTTGTCACCTGGCTAAAAGCCACCCGAAGGGACCTAAGGGCTCTCTTGCTGCTGTTTGGATACAGATGTGTCGGGGTGGGCAGACGGCTGCTGCGGCAGTGCCGCGTGTCAAGAAGTTTGCCATCTACAGATGGGATCCCGATAAGCCTGGGGACAAGCCTCGCATGCAGACGTACGAAGTGGATTTGAATAAGTGAGTATGCCCCGTTAGGGAGAGGCTTTGCTGCCAGGCAGGCACCCTGGGCTGCCTGCGCACGCAGCTCACCCGACGAGTGATAACGGAGGGTGGTTGCAGAGCACTTGAGCTGATGGCTAAAGGTGTCAGCAGTCTCATTAACCTTCAGGGACTGTTAAAACCTTGTTGGAGTGACCAGGAAGGTGGTGCCTTGACTGTGTTACAGAGCATCTTGTCCTCAGTGCAGAGGAGATCAATGTTATTTCCTGATAGAGCAAATCTTACTATGATCACGTGGGATTATTTTCCGTGTTGGTGCTAAGCGTGGCAGATAAAACTGTTCTCTGAATGCCAGTGTCTCAGTAGCTGTCAGCAGTAAAATGGTCAGTTTTGTTTTGTGAGGTTTTACCTGTGTCCCTGAGCTGTGTTGAAGACCTGAATGTGGTTTTGTCTTTAATAAGCTTTATTTACATGGTAAATGTTGGGGCATATTCCAAAAGGAAACTATTTTATGGGCAGATCAGGCCCACACCTGGGAGATAAGGCAGAAGCTTTACTGACTCTTCTCATAGTTTTCCTAACATTTAATTACTTCTAGTTTTTAAATCATATTAAACTTCTAGTAACCAGCTGCAAACCTTGGTGTAGCTGTTACCAAGAAAGCTCTTTCTGCTCTGTGATTCTGCGAAAGGGTGCAGCCTTACCTGTGGTCAGAAACCTTTGTGTGGGCACTTTTTCTTGAATATCCCTGAGCTCCAGTTGCTGCTTGTGCTCTTAGCACAGGAATTCACCTCGAGTCCCTTCTGAAAGCTTCAGCTACAATGCCACGCAGCTCCCTACTTAAGAAGCACGTGACGGAGGACTCGAATTTTTGTATGACTTGCACCAGTTAATAATTTCTGGGTGTTGCCCTGTTGGCCAGATATTACATAAGTTGTCCAAGACTGTTTGGTTTTGCGTGCAGCACTGCCTCTTGTGACTAATGAGGACAGGAAGGCTTGTCAAAACCTGACCCAAAAGGAGAGAACCAGTAGCAAGGCACTTGCTTTCCAGTTGTACTGGCTGAACCCTCTCCAGCTGAGCCAGATCTTGAGGGTATTGGCAAAAGAAAGGGCTTCTCTCCTGTCCTGACCCCGGGGTGTGCTGGGGGGAATGCTGCTGATCAAGATGTCTCTATCTTGTTGCCTGGGATTGGCAAAAATATAGTGGTTTTTTAATTGTAGTTGATCAATGTCCTGTTAGGTACTGCTTAGCTGGGGTGCCAGAGGTCAAGCACCGAGGCTTGGGGCGGAATTATACAGGTTCACCGACTTACTTTTCTGTTACAGATGTGGGCCTATGGTGCTCGATGCGCTGATCAAGATTAAAAATGAGATGGATTCCACTCTGACCTTCCGCAGATCGTGTAGTGCTCAACTGAAGATTGTCCTTGGAGACTTTGTTGCTGACGGTGTACGTGTAACCGCTAGAACGCTTCAGGGTAGATGGCAACGTACCGCTCTCCTCTTCAGCTGCTGCGTATGAAATACCTCAGTGAATCAAGGAGTAAAGTTAAAGCTCGTATTCACAGGGCGTAATCGCACAACACGGAGCTATGAGCAATACGCGTAAACGGCCCCAGTCCTTCCTGTTTCTGTCCTAATCGTGTTCATCTTGCTGCCCTCCAGTGACGGACTGCGTGGGGAGATCTGGCAAGAGGGATTACAACAGCAAAATTGAGGGGGCAGACGTGGCAAATGGGAAAGAAGTGTAGGGGCTGCTTCGTCCGGCGCTGCTGTGGAAATCAGAAAGGGCGTAACTGGAAGAGTACTTATGACTTCTAGGAATAGCTTCAGGAATCTTTTTTTGGCCCTTTGACTAAGCTGAGTGATTGATTGAGGAAAAGGCCACCTGGTGGTTTTACATTGCAGAGCTACTGGCTGCTTCTCGTACAGGTACCAATCATCAGGTCTGTTCAGCTGCGTTAAAACTTACCTGTCTGGGTGATTTGCCCTGTAAAAAAAAAAAATAATCCTAGTTTGTGGGTAATGTTGGGATGCTGAGCTTAAAATGATAGTTGTGGCAATGCAGGAAGGGAGGCTGCCTTTATGGAATGACTTTTGATTTAATTAGGTGGATTTGCAAGCATGAGAAATTTAGGTGCAGTTGATGCCTAAAGTTGTTCTGGCTTGGATCTAAATGAAAAACATGCTTTAACGCAGCTGTTTACTGTAGAGTCTGCATAGCAGGCAGAGGAATTTCATACAGCTTAGTTGTTACCAGTGTCTGATATTTAGGTAGCCAACACTGTTCTCAGGCAGCTGGAATTAATTGCCCTGAATACTTGTCTTTGAGAACCCGAAGACAGATTTTCAAGGCAGACTGGTTCAATCTTGCCCCTTTTCTACCATGTGAGGAAAAAATTCAGTCACGCATTCCTGTTGCATACTCGTGTGCCTGTGTTTGCAGTCCTGGTTCTCTCTCCAGTTGACTGGAAAATACTTGTAACCATTGCTGGAGTGGGAGGAATAACCTTGTTCGAGTGCCAGCCTTTATCCGGCAGCGAGGGGAAGGATTGCCAATGCATCAGGCGCTGAGGCGGGCTGGCTCGCCAGCATGAGGAGCAGTGGCATGTCTCTGACTCATATCAATTGATATGTGTCAAATCCTCTGAAATTAGAGTTTTGCCCTTTCAACATTTGTCTTCTTTCTAGTATGATGTTTTAGGCATCGGTCTGAATTGGATACCCGAGCTCCTGACCTGAGCAGTATCTGTGACAGTTCTGCAGTGGGTTTTCTTGTAAAGCTTGGCTTTTCCTGGGCTACATCTGATCCTTTTATTACTGGGAGATCATTAGTGGTGTCATTTAATCCATTTGTTAAGCTATTTATATGCTGTTTGTTCTGGTGAATGTCTGTCCTCTCACCTCTGGGAGTTACCGAATGCCATTTATGGCACCGCTCTGCCCTGCTCCAGAAGGCGCAGAGAGAAGCTTCTGTCTTGGGGACTTTATTTTATGTTCCTGACCTTCAGGGATGCATTTGACCTTAACCGTAGGGCTGCTGGGGGATGCGCCTGATTCCCGTGTTATAATCTTGGCGTTAGCTGCTTCACATCAGTACGAGCTGGTGCTTCAAACTTGTGAGCAAAGCTGAATGTCCTCCCCACCCTAAGTAGCATGTAAAGCTAATGAATGATGCGAAAGGGATGAAGTGTCCAAGCCACTTGTTTTCTGCTGCGGAAGGAAGTTCAGCACAGAGAATGTGTTTAGGCTGTAATGAAAGTGACTCCTGCGTTTGTTCTTTATTTAAATAGCAACGTGTTTGGCCCAACGGCAACTTCTGGCGTTTTCCCTGTCACGTACAGGGTTTCTTGAAGACAGCCTGGGGGCATGTTCGGGGCCAAGAGGATCTTCCTCAAGTAGGCTAAGAGGGTAAGTACCTAATGCTTTACTCTTTTTCTCCCGCTCAGGCATCTGCGGCTCTTGTGCTATGAACATTGCTGGCGGAAACACACTGGCCTGTATCAAAAGAATTGACCCCGATCTCAACAAGATCACGAAAATCTACCCTCTCCCCCACATGTATGTGGTGAAGGACCTTGTGCCGGTGAGTATCTGCCTCTGGCAGCTCGCGACCAAGGGTGACGCTGTTCCGAGCAGCGTGGGGTTCGCGTTGGGTTGGAAGGGATAGTGTTGGGAGGTGCCGACAAGATCAGGTCTCGCAATTCACATGTTAACTCCGGCTGGTGTTTTCTGGCTTGGGTCTGAGCTTCCCAGCAGTGACTAAATCTGTCCTCATTGGGAGGAATGTGGCAGGTTGAGATGCAAAGCGCTGCCTTCTGTTGGAGTGGTAGCAGTTGTTCAGTTTCTCATGCATCAGTTCAGCTTAATGAATGTGACCTTTTTGCCTTCTGACTCCTAGGACTTGAGTAACTTCTATGCACAGTACAAATCCATCGAGCCGTACCTGAAGAAGAAGGATGAGTCAAAACAGGGCAAGGAGCAGTACCTGCAGTCCATAGAAGACCGTCAGAAACTGGTTACTGCTTCTTTTCTACTGTTGAAATGCCTTCCAGATAAGACCAGGGTTAAACGCTAGCATGTGGTAGCTTCTAATTCCTTTAATGACAAAGCTGTCTGGTGCAAAACCCGACGTGGGTGTAATCTGCTCCCTGAAATGCAGTGTCATGGCATGCCTGCATTGCTAGGGGTAACGTTTGCTCATGAAATGCGGTTGCGATGGGAACTCTGATCTCATTTCCACTGTCTGCACTGCGAAACCGTGTGTGTTTGTACAAACATTGTGCAGGCTACAGGCTTGTAATATTCCTGTGGAGATAAGGTACTGCAGCTTATGCTGGCATGTAGGCTGTCTGTCTTGTCTGGCTGCGGCATGCTGAGCAGCGCTCTCATGTTGCTGCTTGCTGGGGTTTACAGCGCTGAAAACTAATGGCAAAAGTGAAACCCTTTTGGATGCGGAGGCACGAGCGTGATGTGTTAGTGCATGTCTGTGGATGTCTGTCTTGAGCACTGTATTATTTCGAGGGGATTTTCGGGGATCATAGCGTGTTGGTCCAAAGTTTCTGCGTAAAGGTGAAGGGTGTCTGAGGAACCATTTGAACAGCTGGGAGACAATAGCTTTTTAGAGTTTATAGTGCAGGTAAGTCCTTCTGGATTTCCTTGGCTGCTGCAGTAAGTATCGTTAAATCAGCAGTTTCTCTTTTGCCTTTGACCTGTCTTGATGGATCAATCACTCGCGTCACGGTTCAGTGCTCTGCTGTGGTGCTGTCACTGGGAAGGTGCAAAGTGGGCAGGCAGCCCAAGTGCTGACAAGTGGTGAAAGAGGGGTGAACATGAACATCAAAGAGGAAGGCCGTTCAAAGGGGAGCGATGAAAACCCACGAGCCACAGCCCAATTCTCTGCAGTGATCTCTGAAAGTTTTCCATTATGTGTGTTTGCTGCGAAGTTAACATCCAGTGAGTAGACCAGTGAGGTGCCTGAGTTGTCGGCAGCACCGTGCGACTGGCGCTGTGATGTCCTCACAACCGCAGGGTTTTACAGTCTGAAGGAATCTCTATCCAAGGGCAACAGTTCGTTCTCCTGCACCACTTCATGACGTGATCTGATCCATACGTGAGGACTGAAGGGACTCTCCCTTGGCATGGTTTTCATACAGCGGCATCCTCGATCCCTTTCTCATTCAGGTAGAAGGAAGCAAACCTAAAAGTAGCTGCAGGAGCTGCCTCAATCTTTCTCACGAGCAAACTTGCTTTTTATTTTATTGCTGAAGTTTCTCTTGCTTTGAGAATGGCTTGTGTGCAGGAGGAACTTGGATACAGTGTCAGCTGAAAAACTCCCACCTTTTTCTTGAAATCATCAGTCTTTTGAAATGTTACAAGTAGAAATAAGACAAACTTAGAGCAAGAAGGTATCTCTGGCTTGCGTTGCTCTGGCAAGTCTTTCTGGAAGACTAATGCAGGAGCTTGTTATAAGCTCCCAGGAGTTCTGGCGTCAGGTATCTTTCTAAGCTAAAGGTAGTGAGACCTTTGTCCCAAAACAACTTTCGGACACATGATTTAAGCCAGACTGGACTCTGTCTCTTGGCCTCGGGGGGTGTTCATTGGGCTATTAGGAGACTTGGGAGACCCTGTGTTCCTCAGAGTTTGTCTTCTGCCCAGTGTCGCTTCCGTATAGGTCTACCTTTCTTTTTTTCAGTCCCTGAAATAGAAAGGCCTTCATCTCTCTAAAAACAGTGAAATGGCGAAAGACTCGTGCCGTTTGCATTCTGTGAGTGCTTGGGGATCTCCTCAAAGCGCATGCTAAACTGGGAGCTCTTCTCCCTTGGGTTGATGGGCAGACTTTGCTCTTTCTTCTCTTCTGTAACATGGCCTTGAATTGTTAGTTGGTTACATAATTATTCCTTTCCCCAGCCACTTTTCTTCTTTTTCCCCATATTTCTTCAGTCTACATTTTCACCTCCTGTTGTCACAAAACCCTAGTTAATTATGTGGGTCGAGTTGGGAGGATTGCATGCATCTTGTTTCGAGGACCTGCATGTGGGAGTTGCTTTCTTCCAGCAGAGCTTCTT